CCATGAATCCAGTGTCAATTGTCAGAAAAACCCATCTGGTTCACTAAATTTTCTGAAGGGTCTACACCCAAAACATCAGCTTTCCTGCTGCTCTGATGCTGCTTGGCCTGCTGTGTTCATCCAGCTCTACACCGTGGTATCTCAGATTCTCCAGCATCGGCAGTTCCTACTATCTCTGTAATAATATGCCACACTGCTTTGGAGTCACATGTAGGCTAGACTGGGTAAAAACAGCAGATTACCTTCCTTAAAAGAATACTAATGAATCAGATAGGTTTTTGCACCAATTGATAAAGTTGTCATGAACACCAATATTTTACATTTCAGACTTACAAACTGAATTTAAAGCCAACCAGCTGCTGCAGCGAGATTTGAACACAGACTGGTGGATCATTCGCATGGGTTGCTGGATTATTAGTCCAGTATTACTACCAGGACCTTGCCCATATATTGTACATTACACATGTGTACATCAGCTTTTTTAATCAGTAATGGCTTTGCAATCCTTCTCGAATTTTTGTAAAGCCATTACATATTAAAAGAGATAAACTGAAAGCACTTGGGGCTAGACTCGTGCATGATTTAAAAGCATATTTTTGGTGTTATAGTTTCAAATAGGTCAGGGAGTAGAAACATAGGAAGATAGGAGCAGGAGGCGGCCATTCGGCCTTTTGAGCCTGCTCTGGCATTCATCATGATCATGGCTGTTCGTCTAACTCAACAGCCTAATCCTGCTTTCTCCCCATAACCTTTGATCCCATTTGCCCGAAGTGCTATGTGTGGCCACCTCTTGAATATATTCAATATTTTCGCATCAACTACTTCCTGTGGTAATGAATTCCACAGGCTCACCACTCATTTGGTGAAGAAACATCCCCTCATCTCCGTCCTAAATGGTCTACCCTGAATCCTCAGACTGCGACTCCTGGTTCTGGAGCATCCCACATCAGGAGCATCCTCCCTGCATCTAACCTGTCTAGTCCTGTTACAATTTTCTAAGTCCCTATGAGATTCCCCCATCATTCATCTGAACTCCAGCAAAAACAATCCTAACCTAGTCAATCTTTCCTCATATGTCAGACCTGCCATCCCCAGAATCAAACTGGGGAACCTTTCCCTCGAGAGCAAGAGCATCCTTCCTCAGAAAAGGAGACCAAAACTGCACACAGTATTCCAGGTGTGGTCTCACCAAGGCCCTGTATAACTGTAACAACACATCCAAAAGACCATAAGGCATAGGAGCAGAAATTAGGCCATTCGGCCCATCGAGTCTGCTCGGCTACTCAATCATGGCTGATAAGTTCCTCAACCCCATTCTCCTGCTTTCTCCCCGTAATCCTTGATCCCTTGATAATCAAGAACCTATCTATCAAAATCTTGAATGTACTGGATGACCTGGCCTCCACAGCCTTCTGTGGCAGTGAATTCCATAGTTTCACCGCCCTCTGGCTGAAGAGGTTTCTCTTTATCTCTGTTCTAAAACGTCGTTCCTTTACTCCAAGGCCGTGCCCTCGGGTCCTAGTTTCTCCTACCAATGGAAGCATCTTCCCAACATCCAATCTGTCCAGGCCATTCAGTATTCTGCAAGTTTCAATTAGATCCCTCCTCATCCTCCTGAACTCCAATGAGTATAGTTCCAGAGTCCTCAAACGTTCCTCATATGTTAAGCTTACCATTCCTGGCGCCATTCTCGTGAACCTCCTCTGAACCCACTCCAGGGCCAGTACATCCTTCCTGAGACATGGGGCCCAAAACTGCACTCAATACTCCAAATGTGGCCTGACCAGAGCCTCCCTGCTCCTGTACTCAAAACCTCTCACAATGAAGGCCAACATTTCATTTGCCTTCTTTACCGCCTGCTGCATCTGTATGCTTACCTTCAGTGACTGGTGCAAAAGGACGCTCAGGTCCAGCTGCACACTCCCCTCCCCCAATTTACAGCCATTCAAGTAGTAATCTGCCTTCTTGTTTTTGCTTCCGAAGTGAATAACCTCATTTATCCAAATTATACTACAAATGCCATTGATTCGCTCATTCAGCAAACCTGTTGAAATCATGCTGAAGGATCTCTGCATTCTCATCACAGTTCTTAGTTACTAAGTTTGCAGATGATATAAAAATTGCTGGAGGGACAGGTAGTATTGAGGAAGTGGGGAGGATGCATAAGAACTTAAGCTAGGAGACTGAGCAAAGAAGTGGCAGATGGAATACAATGTGGGCAAATATGAGAATGGACTTTGGTAGGAAGGATATGGGCACAAACTATTTTCTGAATGGGGAAAGAGCTTCAGAAATCTGAAGAACAAAGGGACTTGTGAGTCCTAGTTCAGGATTCTTTTAAAGGTTGTCACCATTAGACTTATTGCTCCCATAAAGTGTACAGTGGGTGAATGGGCATTGAAGTGCTGCAGACTGGCTTGGGAGCATAAGGGATTCAGAGTGTGAATAGAGGACAAACCCTGGCATGGGGACATGAGGTGCCATAGATGGAGCTTGGGGAGTGTCTATCTGCTTTTATCATCATGAGGATGAAGTCCCAACACTTTGGGACTCAACACCCAGTAGCCTTGCCGCCCAACCATTTTATTTTTTAAACACTTCTTTTTTTCTGAAAGAAGGGTCTAGACCCAAAACGTCAGCTTTCCTGCTCCTCTGAAGCTGCTTGGCCTGCTGTGTTCATCCAGCTGTACACCTTGTTGTCTCAGATTCTCCAGCATCTGCAGTTTCTACTATCACAGTAGCACAAATTTGTCTTTTGCAGGTTAGCAGGCGAGTGATGTGTCACAATATTGAGGTCACAACTGCTTATAATTTATATAAATCACTTTGATGAAGGGACCGAATGTATGGTTGTAAAATTTGCTGATGACAAAAATAAGCAGAACAGCAAGTTTTGAAGAGAACAGAAAAGGCTGGAAAGAGATATAGGTGGTTTAATTGATTTGGCAAAGACATGGGAAAATGGAAAATGGAAAATGGAAAATTGTCCACTTTGGCAGGAAGAAGTATATTATCTAAATCGTGAGATGCTTTGGACATGTATCACAAAAGGTTAGTATGGAGGTACAGCAAGTAATTTTAAATGCTAATTGATGTTATCATCATTTATCATAAGGGAAACTGAATTCAAAAGTAGGGAGGTTATGCTTCAGTTAATTCACACAATCCAATGCTGCACATCAGTGTCCCACAGAACCATACAATACTAGCATAGGGTCTCCTATGGGACCTGTTTTTCCCCCAAGGATATACTGAGGCATAACGGTCAATCCAAGCAAAAGATTGGTCAATTTCTTGTTGCTCATATCATCTTCCCAGTTAAAGATTTGTTTTGCAGGTTTACTTGGAAATGATGGGAATCATCGTCTTCCTTTTCTTGCTGGACCATTCCAGAAACTACTGGTTATTGTATTTAAAATTAAGTTAATGTAACACCTGTACCTTGTTCTTGCCATCACGTTGTTCTTTTTCGGCTGTTGATTGACAGGGCTTCCAACAGTGCCATTCTTCAGAGACCCCTTCCTGGCTAGCTCTCGCTGCTTCTCTGCAAATAGACAAATTAAACATTTATATTCCCTAAAAGGCACTCAGAATTAACGTTTTGCCAGTGACATAAATATTGGCTGCAAGATATTTAAAAAGCTTAAAACAGCTTTTTTGTTTATATTTATTTAGTTACACAGAAATTTCATTATCGAGAAGAACTGAACTCGGGGAGAAAAAAATGGATCAGGTATTTTCTATTTTTCAAAATTTATGGATAAATTTCATAATGTGCAATCTTGTATTAAAACTGAAATAAAAAGTTCAGCTACCTTTAAATTCCTTTTTCAAAAATGGGAGTAAAACATTTTTTAAGAAATAAAATTAAACTCCTGGAAGCAAACTACCTAAGACAGTACCGTACCTGAACAGCCAGGCTCAGCACATGGATGTGCTTTTTAAAACACTTTTTAAAGTAAGTTATTATTAACATGGCAGTGCTTCAGCAGATTATTAAACTTTAAACTAGTAAAGTTTACTAGTGTGCCAAAATGTGGAAGGCAACATAATACAAAAATGCAGATTGCAGCCTACCATTCTCAATCAGTTCAAGTGCAACTAGAAAAAAAAATTCAATGCTAGCCTTACCAACAATGCCCACGTTATATGCAAGAAAGAAAAATGATGCAACATCTTCACACATGGACAGTCTGCTTATCAAAGTCAAGAAATCTTAGGTGTAGGTTGGCATCAACTAACATCTAAGAACTTCTTTCACTGACTTCCAGGGACTGTTCTATCCCCTTAATTCCTTGAAATTTAATCATTCATACATTTGGGTACTAAATTGTAAGAGAGACAGTGAAAAGGATTTAAATAAAAGGCAACCAGAAAGCCATGAAAATGTAAAAGGAAAGGCTAAGTAATTTTTGTGTTTATTTCTCAGCTTAAAAGTTGAAAAACAACAAAGACTGTAGTTGTCACACCATAATCCAAAGTATGGTGTGATGGAGGGTGGGAACATTTGGGACCTAATATTTCTGTGCAATGCTAACTATAACAAAAAAAAAGTGAGAGAAAGGAACTGGAAGTACGTACATATTGTAAATGCCGCTTTACCCTTCTTTTCCCACGCATGCAATTTTACATTTTGTCATCATTTATTTGGTTAGGGGATAATGAAATAATCAAATTGACTGACTTTTACCATGAGTGTAGCTATACTTCACAATATATCCATGTGTTGTAAAGTACTTTAGGTCATTTTGACTATGAAAACTGTGGTGTTGATCAAAGTAAAACTGGGATACAACAGTTACTCGTGAAGTACCTGAGGCTTCAATGGTGAGGAACAAAATATCAGCATACATTAGAGGTGGTGGTGATGTAGTGGTCAGGCAAATATAATGTTGACATTCATTTCAAGAGGGCAAGAAAACAAGAACAGAGATGTACTGCTGAGGCTGTGTAAGGCTCTGCTCAAACTATATTTGAATAGAATGGATGTGGAGATGTTGTCACAAGTACGAGAGACTACAACCTGGGGACACAGCCTCAAGGTTAAGGGATGACCCTTTAGAATGGAGGAGGAGGAGGAATTTCTTCAGCCAGAGGGTGGCAACTCTGTGGAACTCACTACCGCAGAGTGATATGGAGGCCACATCATTGCGTGTTCTTGATTAGCAAGGAGATCAAGAGTTACAGGAAGAAGGCAGGAGAATGGGTTGAGAAACAGGTCAACCATAATTGAATTGCAGAGGAGGCTTGATGAATGAATGGCCTATTCTTATGGTCTTATGGTAATGTCACTGGGTTAGTAATCCAGAACATAACGCAAATGTTCTGGAGACATGGATTTGAGCCCCATCAGAGCAGATGGTGAAATTTGCAATCAATAAAAATCTGGAATAAAAAGCTAGCCTAACAGCAACCATATAACCACTCAATTTTTTGCAAAACCTCACATGGTTCATTAACATCCTTTAGAGGAGGAGATCCACTATCCTTACTTGGTCTGGCCTACACGTGACTCCAGAACCATAGCAATGTGTTTGATTCTTAACTCAATCATTCCATTTGCAACTTCTGCTCTTTTTCTACTATCCTGACACTGCTAACTCATACAAAGGCAAACCTCTGATGGTGACTCAATGGGCTATTCAACTGTGGGGTTATTGTACTTGGAGAGGGCTGGTTACCACCCTGCTTGTCTATGTTGAACAAATCTTGAACTTGGTTTATCCAATGTATTTCGTTCTAGAATTTCTCTTGCATCGTATACATGGACATGCTTACCATCTGCACACATTTATCAATAGAAGTTTTCTCTTCAACTTCGGGTCTCATCATCTTCACCAATCACTGGCCTATTCATTTTTACATTACACCATTGTACTATTTGACCAATCCCTTGAACGGTCAGTTGTTTTACAATTGGTGCATCTTTGTCAAAATCCAAAATCTTAAATGAACGCATGTTCAAGGAGAAAATTAAATCTCCACTTGGGGAAAGCCAAGATTTGATCAGGGATAGTCAGTATGGTTTTGTCAGAAGGGTCATACCAAACAAATTTGATTGAATTTTTTTGTAGTGGTGGTCAGACATGTAGATAAATATATTGGAGATGATGTAGTTTATATGGATTTCAGCAAAGCTTTTTGACAAGGTGCTACATAGCTAACTGATAAAGAAAGGTAAAGACTCATGGGATCCAGGGTAACTTGGCAAGTTAGATGCAAAATTGGCTTAGTGACAGCAGGTAAAGTGTGGTGCTAGAAGGCTGTTTGTGTGTCTTGAGCCACAAGAATCAGTACAGGGTCCCTTGTTGTTCATGATAATCATAAAATATGTAGATGGTAATGCTGGGGGGTGGGGGGTGGGGAGGTGTTGGAAAGGAGAGATGACAAGTAAGTTTGTGTCATCCACAAAGATTGGCCAGGTAGTTGACAGTGAGGACGGTGGTATCAGGTTATAGGAGGATTTAAATGATTGGTCAGATGGGCAGATCAGTGGCAGATGGAATTTAACCCTGATAAATGTGAGGTGATGCACATTGGAACAAAAACAAGACAAGGGATTCACTCAACAAATGGCAAGACACGAGGAAGCTCAGAGGTACAGTATGATCTTGAGTTGCCACAAGATCCCTGAAAATGGCAGGACGAGTTAATAAAGCAATTTCTTATGCCTTAAGGCAGCATATGTGACACTTGCCTTTATCAGTCATGGCACAGATTGTAAGAGAAGGTTGATTATGTTGGAGGCATACTGAGCATTGGTTAGACCATAGCTGGAGTACTGCAGGCAGTATGGTCACCACACTATAGGAAGGATGTGGCTGTACTGGAAGAGGGGTGAGCAGAGGAGAATCACTGGGACGTTGTTTGAGATGGAACAGTTTAGCTAAGATGGGAGGACGGATAAGCCTGGGTTGTTCTCCTTGGCTCGAGAAGGTTGAGGGGATAAAAGTGCATAGATTATGAAGGACATGGACAGGGTGAATAGAAAGCAATTAAAAGGGTCAATAACAAGGCAGCATAATTTAGAGGGGATTTGAGGCAAAAGCTTTTCACCCAAAGGGTGGTAAGGGTTTGGAATACATTGCCTGGGAGTGTAGTTACAGTGGGAAACCTCACAAACTTTAACGAGTACTTGGACATGCACCTGAAGTATCATAACATGCAAGGCATTGGGCCTAATGTGGGAAAATGTGACTAGTCAAACTATTTGTAGTGGTACAAGTTGATTAGCCAAAAGGCCTCTTCTGCATGGTGAGATTCTGTCATTCTTCCACTGTATTCATAATCACACATGTTTACGCTTTGACACGGTGTCACTTCAAGTGGTTAAGAGTTAGGGACCATGACGGGTGTTCAATCCTGGAAACTCTTGCTTGCTGCATGCTGCTTAAAAAGCACTTTCAGATATGAAGCACGGAGACGTTTTACTTGCTGCTGTTGCATGTTGTGTTTCAAACTCTTTACATACATGGAAATCTTCCTTGCTGCACTGTGAAAATAGAAATAACGCAGTTCTTTGGAAAAGTATGACTGAAGAGGTTGTTGAATTATGGAGGTATAATATTTATTTAATTATGCATTGAGGTTATGTCAAATTGCTCCTTAATCACCAAATAGAAACACAGAAGAGAGATTACTCAGCCCATCGGGCCCACTCTACCTATCAATATTATTGCGATGATCATGCTGATCCACTATCTCAACACCGTACTCCTACTGTCTCCCCAAAACCCCTTCACATCTTCTAGAAATTAGTTCCTTTCTTAAATAGATGCAGTGACTTTGCCTTTGCAGTTTCGGCACCGACCTGCCTAAACTGATCTCACCTCATTCATCAGCTTGGATTATTATATCATTACAAGTGCTTCTTAAAAGTTGAGGATTCCAGACTCTACTGTTCCCCCAGGCAATGCATTTCAGACTTCCATCACCCTCTGGGTGAAAACCTCTTCGTCAAATTCCTAAATCTCCTAACCTTCACTTTATAGTTAGGCCCCTTTATTATTGACCCTTTCACTAAGAGAATGGCTACCCACTTACTCACTCTCTCTATGCTTCTCAATCTTACACGTTTCATTCAAGTCCCCCCTCAGCCTTCTCGGTTCTAAATAAAATAAACCCGGCCTATCCAGCCTCTCTTTAGAGCTGAAAATTTTCCAACCCAGGCAACATCCTGCTGCATTTCCTTTGCACCTCTTCCAGGGCAATCACATCCTTCCTAAAGCTGTGGTGACCAGACTTCATGTAGTACTAAAGTTGTGGCGTAATCAAAGATTTGTACAGTTCCAATATAACCTCCTTGCTCCTACAATTAATGCCACGATAATAAAGGCAAGTGTCCTGTATGTCTTCTTGACTACCTCACTAACCTGTCCTGCTGCCTTCAGGTGGACAAGCACCAGAAGATCTCTGTTCCTTTGGCCTGCCATTCATTTACTATAACTTGTCCTGTTACTCCTTCCAAAGTGTATCACCTCACACTTTAAAGGTTAAAATCAATCTACCACTGATCTGTCCATTTGACCATTTATATCCTTGTAT